GAACGATCCATTTTAAAATTTTGCTATTAGGAAACGAAACATCATAAACTCCTTTAGTTCTTATTATCTGGTTTTACTTTATTTAAATGTGTTTTTTTAAGCAAGCAAAACATAAAACCTTCCCATACTGTGATTGATGACCTTTCTCATAGACTCTGTGAACAGGAACAACAGAAGAATATTGGAGCAATTAAGAAGTTTCTGCAGAGGCTGTACACATCAAAATGACTGGGACAGGCATTCAGCTGGATCATTGCCCCTTATACCTCAACTACTGTCAAATCAACTCTAACAGCACCCATGAAGACTATTTTAGGCATATCAGCAAAATGCGCAGTGAACTTTGAGCAGCAGTTAAAGGTATAAAATATATTGGCCTTGCAGTAACTTAAGTTGAGCTCCTCAGTAACATCTGTCCAGGCACTAATATCTTACCATTTACTATTTTTCTTGCCTTACAGATATTAGCTGTGAAGATAACATTCAAATTTTTTCACACAAGCCCCAGACTTTTTAATGTGTAAAAGCTAAACTAACCATAATGACATAGAACATTTGTGTGGACACTCTCCCTTTGAAATGCTAGTTAATAATGCAAGTAATTCAATGGAATGGAAAGAAATTTAGGCCAGATGGCAATGAAATGAATAAGTCAATTGCATATTAATATCTGCTGTTCTGGAATTGTTTTAACATCTTTTTTAGTAATGCAAGACTGGAAGACACCTTCTTGGGCACTGAGATGTGCTCTTTGTTGTTGATGACATTGTCATCTACAGCCTCTTTCCTGTACTTACCATACTGTTTTGATGCAGTGAAGTTCTTGCCCTCATTGCTTCCATTACAGGGCTATCCTAAAAAAACATTGGCTTTAATCCTTAGAATCTTTTTAATAGAGCCCTAGAATAGCTGACTGGGAGGAGCCTCTGGAGGTTATCTGCTTGAGACCTCGTTTGGAGCAGGGCTAGCATGGAGCAGGCTGCTCAGGGCCCTGTCCATCAAGTTTTTAATATCTCCAGGGATGAATATTCTTTCCATTGAAATCTGAAAATGTCAGTGCCAAAACTGTGCTCTAGCTTGAATAGGTCATCTTGTTGTCCAGAGCTTGTACCTTCATTTAATTTATAAAATAAAACCATATTACTTCTCAGCTTTCATTTTTGTAAGAGGAGGATTCCCTCTCTCCACCTTGTGTCTATATTTGTTTTCTTTTTTTCAGTCACTGACAACCAGCTCACTTCCAGATAATACCTGAAGAGTTTTAAAGTTAACTTCTTTGTATTTTGTGTCTTGTCTCTGACCTTATGGTGACATCTCGTACATCACTGATAATGTATGAATTCAGCCCAGTTACAGTTTGGGTAGTTCTGCCATGAACAATGCAGAACTTTGATTTTTCTCATTCTGAATGTAGTCTCTGGATAAATGCTTCTGTTTTGAGGATGCAAGGTGAATCAGTGATATTTTTCCAGGTAGCTACCCCTGCAGCTACTCCAGTATAAAGCAGTATATAACACCTTAAGCCAAAAAGTTTTATTTGTTTTCTTCTTTGTGGATTGAGATGTGGTTTGTTTTTGTAAAAAAAGATATTTATTTGGACTGACAAGGTAAGAAACTTTCCAGGATCTTCTCATGTTCTTTGGTGCTGATATATTCTGTAAACTGAGATTTGAAGATACATTTTTCAAGGGGATGGAGTATTTCAGCCTAAAAAGGAATCGGTGATACATATTATGCATAAAAGGGTTTCAGAAAAAGTTAAATAGCATCAAGTGGGTACTGGTAATGTATTTTAAAATCAGTTTGTTTTTTCTTCTTTTTGTCCCCTTACGACACTCCTACTTTCCTTTTAAATTTTATGGTTTCTCCTATAAGTACAAAAATTGATTCACTATATTTGAGTGGTTTCTAAAGCAGGCAAAATGACCAATCCCCATTTAATGAAGAGAAACATGAATTTCAGTTTATTTGTGCTCTTTAAATCCTCTTCTCAAGCTAAAGTCTAATTGCAATTTCTGAAAGAATGTTCTCTGAGTGTAGACAGAAGCCTGAAGCGGCAGGAAATTAAAATAAACTCTGGACTATAGAAAGCACAGTCTAGAAAGATCTTTGCTAGCTAAGGTATTAGCAAATTGAGGCAATCATGAGTGTCCTTGTTTCTGCAACCACATAGGAAAGCCACAATAAGGACGGGGGACAGTTTTTCTTGAGGGAATGGTAAATGCAGAATTTGAATCAATGCTCATTGATGTCAAGGGGCAGAGAAGTGAGATGCAAATAGAACTGGCTATTGACTGGGTGACAGTGCTGCTGCTATCATTATGCATGTGATAACGGTACCATGATACTAGCAACATTGTACATTTCTGTGCAATCCATACTGCTTGTTTTCAACTTAGTCTTTGTGATAGACCTCTTCTTTCTCTAAGGAGCTACAACCACAGGGCTTTTTTTTTGGCTGTTGATGCAGGTACCTCTCAGTAAATGTCTAGGTTGAATGTGAAACATTATTTATCTGCTAAATGAGGGAGCTTTCTTTCCAAGAGATAGCCTGTTTCTTTTCTGAATGCATACAATGTAAAAGTGTGTGCCATTATTAATAAATAAGGCATTGGGTAGGCTTTGTCTGGAAGTCTTATTGAAAGTAGCTATTACTATCCAGTAACTTGAAGAATGCATAATTGCCTTTGGGATATTGAAGCATGGAATAATTAGAGTGCAAGTTTGAGAAAACAGTGTTGTAATTCCTGAGAAGGACGATTTGCCACAACTGACTAATTTTTAGGCTTAATTTTTTTCCTGATTTATCCATGAATACTGCACAATTAAGTGTTTCAGAATACAAATGAATTATCAATTGTTTTGTGTAGAGATGTTTCAAAACCATGCTAATGCCAGTTATCTAAAATCAATGGTGGTTGACTCTGCCCTTCAGTTTTCTGATATTGCTATTTAGGATTTTAAGATTATTGTGGGCAAACTAGTCAGTAAACAAATTGACTGCTATTGAAAAGAAATCTTGTGTGGCAATGCTAAGTTCAGATGCAGCATCCGTTGTCTCATTAGAATTGAGCATCTCTCAATTCTGTCAAGCTTTAATCTTTTCACAGAAAGTGTAATTGGGCTATAGCTAGTTACGAACAGGAAAGTTTATCTCTCTGGCTGCTTAGTCTGCCTACTGCTAGGGAAGACTGGAGCAAATGAGCTTTTGTGATTATGAAACCTTCAGTGCCTGCTTGTATGCTTCCTCTTTCAGTAGAGAAAGGGAGAGCTGGACTTAGTTTTGCCCTTAGTTCTGTTTCCTTCCATCTCCAGATCTATTTGCTGTAGGGTCAATTGTTTACAGCTGTGGAAAGTATGGAAGAGTCTCTTTTTTTTCTGTATTGTTTTTCAATCACATCTGTATACTTCTCTGTACATGCGAAACATATTTACTAGGAAATGTGTGGACTGAAGATAAGGGCTTCTAAAGGTGTCATTAAAGCAATCTGCAAAAGCTACAGTGAGAACTTCTACCCAGGCCCTTCAGTATTATCTGATTGATAATCCCAGTACATCTTAATCTGTCACAACTTTAAGAGTAAATCTGTTATCTTGCCTGGAAAACAGATAATAGAGTTATAGGACAAGAGAGGATATTTTTTTAGTTTGCAAATTCTCAAACTGAAAATCTTTCAGCAGCATGTACTTGCTCTTTAAATCTCGTCTCACACGTGTGAATGTTACAATTGGCAATCCAGAGCTCTTTGTATGTTAGGAACTGTGCATAAAAATTAATTCAAGCAAAATGTAATTTATAAGAATAATAACATACTTTCCAAATGTTTCCTGTGTTAATCGTGGTGAAGACAGTTACTATAGTACCACTGCTAGATTTTATTGTAAATAAAGTAATTCAGTGGTGCATGTTCTCTTCAGAGTGTTACTGTTTGTTTAAAAGAAGTGAAGGATGCCAGTAGGAGATGGCAAGACAACCTTTTGTTTTCTGTTGAGTGAATTCTATGCTTAGTAACATTTTGATACAAAAGCAATAGAGCAGTGTTTATTTTCAGGAAAAGGTTCTGAACTTTGCTATTTGTCAATGGATATTTCTAGAATTTATGTACATATGAGAAGCAAAAAGAGTAAAGCATGTGTACCAAGTTTTCTGCCAAAATAAATATTAGACCCAGTACAAATAGTTCACCTAAATTATTAACTGTGTGGTAAATAAACACATTGAAGTTTGCTTACTACTGTTTACTCAAGGCATTTTGCTGCCATGAGGCTGGATATACCACTGAGACTTCCAATTAAATGTCACTGAGGAGCCTGTGAAAAGGTTTGACTCCAAAACCACACACAGGAGTCATTGGGCAGTTTTATTGGTAAATGTGGTTGTGACTTAAATACAAATTTCCAAAACCAGATTCCTGATATATTAAAAAGGGTTCAGAATAGTTTGTGCATACCAGTCTTGAAGGATGTGTTAAGGCCTTTGTAGCACCTTTATAGCAGCAAACACGCCCTCCTTACTAAACAGGTACTTCCATAGGTGAAAACTTTACTCACTGAGTTGCTTGAGATGAGAATAACATTCATGATGTAGCTGCCATGCCCTAGATTCTTATAATCCAGAGGGATTCTACTTCAGTTAGGTTCTGCTCTTTTTCTGTTGGTCCATCTCCAGCCTTCTGTGTTAATTGCCTTCATTCTGTTTTCCTGCTGGATGTTGCATTGATATATCTGCTTTCATGCTTTGGACCATCATTTAATTCAGCCTGTCATTTACATTACTACTGAGTTAAGTAAAACCTTTTATTCGATGTCTACTATCAGCTTTTTCTTATAGTTGAATTGTTAATAAGTTACTGTCAATAAACTAGATCCAGAGGTATTTGTCGGTGTATTAAAGGAATTTTTACATGACTGAAGAAACTCCAATCAATTTCTTACTAATCTCTGACCTGGCACACACTGAAACTGTGGTCAAAACAGAGATGAAACACCTTGACCTGGCTCTTCAGGCTCCTGGAAGAACTCGGAAACAGATGGGAGCTGGCATAAGAGGATAGGTGGGGAGTCTCCCTATGGAGAGGAAGGGTTGAAGAACTGTGCAAAACCAGCTTTCAGCCAGTGGTTGAGACAGAGCTTCTGGCAGGATATAGCATCCAGCATAAGTATAGGTGTGTTAGTTTTTAGCACAAGCCCAGCTAGGTAGAAGATTTTCCTCCATCCAGTGAGTTATCTTCTGCATATGTTGTTTTTCTGTAGTTTTTATATAAACCATTTTGTAAAATTTACAGATTTGAAATGGAGGCAAAAGGTGAAGTTGACCTTATTTCCAGGTTAATAAAGCTGTCTGCCGAGGTTTTGGTCTAGACTCTTGAAATGTTAAAATTCACCTTATTTGTTAAATGAGTAGCATCACAGCCTTTGTTTTCTTTCCCATTGTGTGCAGTGTTCATTAGAGCAAAGTAGGAGAAAGCAATAAAAACACAAGTGGCCTTTTTGGCACCTGGGTTACATGTGAAAAAGAACTGCTAAATCATTTCAACTCCAAGTGTTAATTACTTTGCTGCACATTGGCACATTAAATGTGTAGCAAAAATATGTTTCTTTTTAGGTGCTGTGTGTGTATGATGTAGTTTGCCAAGTGTTTCTTGTTGAATTTTGTGAGTTTTCTTTTTGTAGTCAAATTTTATTTAATTTCATGTACCAGGTGTCTCCAGTGGAAATGTGTGTCTTGAACTGAGTCCTTAATGCTTGCTTAATTTCAGTATGTGAAGAAGAGCTTTCACAAAATCCAACTGGAAGAATTCTTTAGGGTCAGGTGAAGTCTTTTAATTCATAGGAAAAGTATCTCTTAGTGTGGAAATTCCTGAAAGCCATTTTAGGAGGATGCAGGGGCAATCCTGCTTCATACTGAAGTGGGAACTTAGAACTGATTGTCAGATTCAAGTTTGTGTGACTGCAGCATCTCATTATATGTATGTATGTGTGTATATATATATATATATTACATAATTCCTAACAGTGATCCTATATAAGGTCCTGTCTTGTACCTTACTTATTGTCTAGCTTTTGTAGAGCCTTAATTTTCCTTCTGGATAAAATCAAAGCTGGATCTTTTCTTTCCTGTAATAATACAATTCATATCTGTATGAAATATCTCTTAAGGCTCATGTGACATAAGAGGCAATCACAGATAAAAGAAAATGGATAGACTGTAAAATGGCTCCTAGAAGAAAAGTAATTTTCTGAGATTCATGCATTGCTCTCTAATTCACAAATAATGCAGTATGTATTTAGGTTGCTATAAAGAGTAATTACTGAATACGGAGTTCAGAATTCATAATAAAGCAAAAGCATATCTGGAATTGTTGAGTAAAGATGAACTATAAAAATACGTACTTCAAATATTTAACTACTTCTCTTCATAAATCACTTGCTAATAAATGCAAAACAAAGGCATCAGAAGAAAAATCACTTTTTAAGGAAAATAACTTTCAAAACCACTTTTGTCCATCATAAATTCTTCTGCAAATAGTGGGTACAAAGTCTGTATTGAAAAAAAAAAAACAACCCTCAAACTGCTTTTCCTTCTCTCTCTTCTGTTGTCAATTAGAAACAAGAATCACCAAAACTGGATAGATGGAAGATAGACTGTTAGTCCAATCTTGATATAACTTAACAGTGAAAACTTCATTAGATTCCTTAAATATGAAGGCACCTGCAGAATTGTTAACAGACTTATTGCAACAAGGTTAAGATGGAACAAAGGCTCTTGGAAAGCTAGTGTGTTATAAGATCCAGCTAGTACAGCTCTTCAGAAGTGAGATTCTATGTGTACCAAAACCCTACAAGAAAAACACAGGCCTATATATAATTCTGGCTGCTAGCAGATGTGATTGTAAAGCCCTGATTCAGTTCTGTCTTAAAGCAGCTTTGGAATTCATCTTGTCGTTGTGGTTTAAGCCCAGATGGTAACTAAGAACCATGAAGCCATTTGCTCACTTCCCCTTTTTGTTCCACTCTGGGTGGGAGGGAAGGGTGTAAACAGCATGGGTTGAAATAAGAACAGTCCAGGAGAGTATAATATAAAAGTATGACTAATAATAATGTTAAGGAGATAACAAGGGCAGATATATAAAACTAAAAAGGGAAAGGAGAGAAAACCAAATGAATAAACACAAGTGATGCACAATACAATTGCTCTACACCCACTGACTAATGCCTGACCTGAGCAGTGGTCTGGCTCCTCCGGGTGACTGATTCTAGTTTATGTACTGAGCATGATGTACTGTGGTATGGAATACCTCTTTGGCTAGTTTGGGTCCAGTGTCCTGTCTCTGCTGCCTCCTGGCTTCTTGTGCCCCTCCTCACTAGCAGAGCATGAGACTGAAAAGTCCCTGATCAGAGTAAGTGCTACTCAGCAACAGCTAAAACATCAGTGTGTTACCAGTATTTTTCTCAAATAAAGCTGAAACACAGCACTGCACCAGCTACTAGGAAGGAGAAAAATAACTGCTACAGCTGAACCCAGGACGGTCATGAAAATTGTTTTATTTAGGCAGAAAGCACGTGGAAACTCAGTCTCAAGTGTTTGAAGAGAGCTTCTAAACTGAGCTTTGATCATTGATTTTACTGGCATTGAAGTTAATACAAGCTTCATTGGAAGCTGAAACACCTGTGCTTTCATCCGCAAAATATAGCACAGAAGAGGAAACGCTGCTAGTGTTAAACATCACTGGAAAATGCAGAGGAGCAGAAACATTGTTGAAATGTAAAATACTAAGACAAAATATTTACATTTTATCAAAACTGGGTTTTAAAATTAAGCTGTTCTGATATTTAAATATTTAGCTACCCACAAGAATATTTTGACTACTCAAAGTTGCTTAGTTGTCAGTAATTATTTACTAACCTTATCCTTCAGGGTTGATAGACATACTTGTGTCCTAGTGTCCAAAACACTCTGCCTCTACCAGAGCAATCTACTTCCAGATATAGCTAAGACAAAATGCCTTTGAAAAGTCTCAGAGAGATAGGATGTTTCACTGGGTCAAGTATTCTCTGCTGTATTTTGATGAATCAGCTCATTTAGCAGCTGATGATTCTTGGTACAATTGGTTTTTTTCATGATAACCTACTGACAGTCTCAATGGTGGTTTTATTCCAATGAAGACTAGAGGACTGAGCCCCTATCAACAGCCTCTGTTACTGTTGACTCTGAGTTTGCTTAATCTACACAGCTGTTATCAAAGCGTATTTTCCCAATTTTTATTTTCAATATCCTTGATAGGACCCTCTGTGTCTGATGTAAGAGCACGTAAGTTTTTGTTATTGGGGGCAGGAATTTTTGAAACTCAGTCTTGTTGTTACTGCTCCAACAGCTTTTGCGATGGTCAGTATTGCATGGGTGGAGTAACACAGCCATTTTCCAGACCCCATCAAGTGCACAAGGACACACGGAGTGAGTGGAAATAATAGCAGTGACCATCTGTGTTCTTTGTTGTTGTCAGTGTAGAGTCAGTGAACCTGTTCAGTCTTGTGAGCCTGATATGCATCATGGCAACAGAAGAATGATTATAAGCGATGCAAGTCAAACAATATCAATGATGTATAGAAATGAAAGGAATTCTCTGTTTCTGAACCCCAGAGATAACCTTTAAATAGCTGTTGGTAGCTGTATTTTCAGGACTCTAAATTCTTCATGTTTCCCTGTCTATTCTATCTCTAGGGATGAAGCCAGGAGAAGAAATATCTGTGGAAGCTCAGTGCAGGCAGTATTAGCAAAGTTCTAGAGAGGTAAGTGGCTTTGAATTCCTTATTAAACTTGCTAGATTGTAGTGAGACTAAAGCTAAATGTTAAGGCCACAAAGACAGGGTTAGGAAAAGTAGAGGCTGTTTGTCAGAATAACTGCAGTATTCAACAAAGTATGCTTAAAAATATGTAAGCATAGGTCTGGCTTTCTTTTGGCTGCTTCCTGTATTTCAGAAAAATTTAGGTTAGAAACCAACGCTGTAGCTTCTGATCCTGAATGAATCATGGTATTCAGGAAGTTACAGAAGGGTGAATTGAGAGTTGGCATCTTTTGAATTCTGTAAGTTTTGATTTCTGGTTGACAGTAGCATCTCAAGTCCATGTTAAAGCTAGAGTAACATTTAGGATTAGGAACAGTAGAACAGCCTGGATGACTGCTAGAAGAGAGAATTTTTGGAAAGCAAAACCTAGCACCAGGAATTTTAAATTACTTGATCTTAGTTTTTGGGTTATGATAGGGCCTTAAATTGGTAATATGTGGAGTCAGGAATAGCAAGGACAACATAAAGTGAATGTTACAGTATTTGTCATATTCCAAAGAAGTTAACTGAGGATTGGTAATGGATGGTTTCCTATTGCTTATTCTTATGAGTTAGTTGTAGTAGGCTCTTATAACTTCATTGGAGTTTCTGAGTATCTTTGAAAGTTCTCAGTTGGAAAACAAATGTGTACAGTGTTGATAGTTGGCAGGTACAAATTCAACTGGCTGAAGCTGTTTTCTCTTTAGACCATTGCTGATTTTTTGAGCTTGTATTTGTTAACAAAAGGACACTTCGAGTTATGACCTCTCTCCTGGATGGTTTGTTTTTTAAACCAGTGACAAAGTTGCATATCCGGAGGTTGCCATTTCTCAGATGCTCTTAGAGCCAAATTTTGTATCAAAAGTTTTGTATATTGGCTTTCAGTCTTATTTGTAGATTCCCAGTAGCATCCTCTAGCCATTTTCATTGGTTTCACTTAGAAGCTTCCTCAAAGTCATGGCTTTTTGCAGGACATATTTTCAAGACAGAGTTTCTAAGAAGTAGTAGTACAAAGTATAAAATTCAAATCAACTGACTGCTGACTACATGGCCACTTAATAAAGAACTGTTCAGAGTTTATGTGAATCTTGTGGTGTTGTCAATAGATTATTATTTATTGTGATGCCACCTGAATCCTATGATGTTGAGGTACCCCCACATCACAGATGGTTCTTATCCCTTGACTGTTTAATTGGCACATCTTAAATTATGTTATGCAGATGTGACAACTTGAAATGTTTTGTACAAGAACAGATGCCCTGTTGCACAAAAACATGATACAGTTTTTCCATTTAAGGAGGCATTTAAGAGCTTAAATGGTGTTATTCTCTTAGGCTTTTCTTTTCCAAAGGAAGTGGCACCAGTGGATGTCTTCAAATGTTTTTGAAATTCAGTATGAGTATGTGTTTTCCTATCAAAATATCAAATATTGGAAAACAAGTGTGACAATTTCTGCTTCCTAGTAACTGGAATAAGCATTGGATGTGAAATTTCCTTAAGACATACAGGGCTGGTTTTAAAAGGAAAAGCTTATTCGCAAATAAACTGTTTACAGTATGTAATGAAATGAATAATATAATTCTTGTGGAAGGTGGACTTTTTAGCTGCCTCTTTCACAGAAGGTAAAGAGAAACATTAAAAATACATTTGCCACTGATAGGTTGAATTCATTTTAGCTGGCATAAATAGGACAGATGAGCTATTCAAATGTCTGATGAGCACTATATTATGAAATATTTATCACCTTCTCATGGTCATTGCATGAGAGACCAATAATTTGTTTTCTCTCGGCACTGGTATTTTGTGGCGCTTATAATAAATTATACATTGCAAGCTTACATCCTTCACCCTTTTTCTATTTACCTATCTAGTCTGAGATCTCATTCATCAAAATGTAGCTGCCTCTGGGACAAAAATGAGGCTACAAATTCATGTATTCTAAAAAATCATGGAATTTATAATGCATAATGGTACTGGGGGCAAAATGGATAGAGAGTATCATACCAAACAGCTGACCTTTAAAGGGAGGAAATGGAAAGAGCAGAATATTTAGAGAAGTATAAATATATCTATAGGCAGATGTTCACCTTGGTCATGCTGTCTGCTGATTTTTGATTTAGGATAACACCTCTGAACAATCAAAGCTGTTCAGATTTTTGCTTATTACCAAGCTTAAGCCAGTGTCATGGATCTAGTTCTTATTATGACCACTGAATTCCCTAAAGTGTTCTATGTTGGAGTAGTAGAAATTGTCTTTTATTTGCTTTGCATTGATGCAGAGGATTTAATGAAGGAAATATTAGGATGAAATGAAAAATAGCATTCCCAAATGATAGTTTTTAGCATTAAAGACCCTATATCTAAATACTGTAAAGACAAGAAGATGTATTTCAAAAAGCAAAAACTTGGTTCTGGGATTGCTTTAAAATATTAAGATAATTGGGACCCTTTAAATCTCAAACATCATTCTTTTTCAATGTGGGGGAGAAATAATCCTCTTATTTGTATTGCCAAATTTTAGTCAGGGGCCCCTGTTTTTCGTTCTCAAGAATTCCTGCTTAGGACATTAAAGCAGAACTGTGCTCCTGCACAAGAAATGGTGATGTTGTCTTGAGGTGTTCTGTGTTAGATAGTGAGTGTTTTTGTCTTTCTTGCAGCTTCCAACCAGAAATCATTTGGCCTCAGTGTAGAGATAAGACCACCCATTGCCTTTGTCGGCTTCATCAACACTCTGATTTAGTTTCCTGAACAAGTTCATTATTCACTGCTCAAAAAGTCTTTAGAGATTTATCATTTCTGCAAAGTGCATAAGCCTGTAAATTAATTTCTCACAACAAAATCATTCAAAATGATCACTCTACAGGATTTTTAAATGACCTTCTACTTGGATGTTATAGGGAAAATAAACCTGGAGCCTTTCTCAATCAATCCAGTTGAAATACTGTATACATTTTGACCATAGAGTCCCCTGGTAAGGTACGGTTTTGGAGTTTGTGTTGCCCAGAAATGTGTGAAATTTATTAATTTATTTTTTAATGAGAAACTTAAGCATGTTAATTCTTGTGTCTATGGAACATAGTGTTTCACTTTAACAGTGTAGGGATCAAGATTGCAGGTCTTTGAAAGCTGCACTTGTATTTTAGGAATCCCAGAAGTTTTAAAGGCACAGTAGACTTGATTTGCTGATCCCACATTTTAACACTTTAACAGGACCAAATTTTAGTTCCATAATTTCAAGTGCTCTTAAGGGGGCTGAAGCACCTCTCGTATGAAGACAGGCTAAGTTGGGGCTGTTCAGCCTGGAGAAGAGAAGGCTGCATGGAGACCTCATAGCAGCCTTCCAGTATCTGAACAGGACCTACAAGGATGCTGGAGAAGGGACTGTAGTGATAGGACAATGGGTAAGGGTTTAAACTTCAACAGGGGAAGTTCAGAGTAGATATAAGGAAGAAGGTCTTTACTGTGAGGGTGCTGAGGCACTGAACAGGTTGCCCGAAGAAGTGGTAAATGCTCCATCCCTGGCAGTGTTCAAGGCCAGGTTGGACAGAGCCTTGGGTGACGCTCTAGTGTGAGGTGTCCCTGCCCATGGCAGGGGGGGTGGAACTGGGTGATCTTAAGGTCCTTTCCAACCCTAACTGTTCTATGATTTTGAGCATGTGCTGATAAATCAGTGTGCGTTAGGTCTGGTAGCAGCAGCGTAGCTCTGTCTTGCTCTTGTGACATCCATAGAAATTCCAGATACCACATAGTCTCCACAGCTCTAGTGTAGCCACAAGCTGGCAATTAGATGCCCAGATGATACCTGTTAAGTCGGAGAACTTTGAAATATAACTGTGTAGTTAAGGTAAACAGACAGAGATCATTGCTATCTGGAGTTTGATTTTAAGAAGGTGTGTTTATACGGATATTAAAAACAATTTGCTTGATGCAGGATTTTCCCATTTCCTGGAGAAGAAGGCTTTCAGGTTTGCAGTACCTAATCTACTGGTGTTTTCTCCAATTTACCATTTGTCCATCATAACCCTGTGGTCCCACTGGTATAATTTGCCATTGTATAGATTTTTATTATTCTTTTCTTGGAATCATTCTCAGTATTTCCACTGAACAAATGTTTGGTTCCTTTCATGAAAATGATGCTGGAAACATATTATGCCAAGAAATATTCCTTCTGACTGTACAGAAAGATTTTCTTACTGCTAATTCCAGAGTGTAGTGCCAGTTGCATTAAGATTTTTAGATGTAAGTCTATTCTTAGGAAGAGAGCAAAGGAAAAAAATTACAAAAGTAAAAGTTGTTAGTCCCGCATTGGTAAAAGCTGTTAGTCCTGCATCGGGATCCCTGCGTACTGAGTACTGTGTAAACACAGGGAAAGCATGTGTGTTCTTTGCATATTTTATTAGTACATAATTTAGAATCGATTTAATAACTTTCAAGGAGTTAGTGAGATCATTTGTTGCAAACAAATTATCCAGTAAAACAGTCTTTTCCCTTTAATTGTTTTTGTTTGTATATACACATGCAGATAAATACATATAACTGCTAAATGTGTTTGCTATTTCTGTACGCAAATTATGCTATCAGCTGGTTTTAGAACTGCTCTATTTGCAGTTGATGATGTAAGGATGGGATTAGGTACAAAAGAGGAGCTTCATTGTCACTGACTTTCAACACTGACTTGCCCTCAAAAGCTTTCCCTTTCTCTATTCTGCTGTTGTTTCTATAATCAATTACTTCTGCCTGAATTACGATTTGAGTTGTTTTTTTGTTTGGAGGTTTTTGGGTTTTTTTTGGTTTTATTTTTGATTGTGATTTGCTTGTTTTTTTTCAGGTGAATAATAAATTATGAATAATGGGTAATCACTTCTTTGTAAGGAAAATTTATGGAGTTAATGATGAAAACTTTTGGACTTCATGAGGAAACCTGAGGTAATGTTGGCCTCATCTAAAAGAGCAGGACTATTTGG